AATGCAACTTCTAGAAACAGAAGACTATGCCTGGTCAGACAGACTCCTCCACTCTTCCTAGATGAATTTATTTATTTATTTGGCAGGTTTAGAAAAATGATTCCACATTGTGCAAACATCACTGAAGACAGAAGACTGAAGAAGGCGAGGACTGAGAGGAGCCAAAGGCTATGGTGGGCCAAGATCTCGCCAGGGCACAGCAGGGGAATGGCTGGCGGGATCCAGGCGACATGCCCAGCTCAACACCTTGAGGATGCTTTGAAAGAGCTTTTCTCATGCCACAGCCCAAGGGCACTGCTTGGTTAGCATCCTCGTCAAACACACCAGCTGTGCTGTTAGCACGATGTGCTAAGAGATCAGACAGAGAGATGTAACAGCATGAATCAGAAAGCAACAAAATATTGTTTCTCTTCTCTTTTTCTAAGTAAAGAATTTTGGCTAAGGAAAAGCTCTGTGAACAAGCCTTTTGTCTCCAACATTATAGTTACTCTTCTAAAATGCTCATAAATTTTTTAAAATTACTTTAATCATCTAAAATGTATTTCATTTTCATTTAATTTTATTTAATCTTCTAATTTCACATTGAATTTAATCTAAAACTTTGAGTTCACGTTTTATAGATAAAACGGTTTTCCTGAGTTTTTCTGGACTTTCTCCCATCTTACTGACTGCAAGTTTGTCAATGTGGGAACCACGTTTTATGTCTGCTTTGATTTTTCCCAGTATGGTGCATGAACTGGAGATGATATTGCAATAAATATTCCTGAATACACAATGAATGAGGTAAAGGCAATTCCCAAACAGAGTAAGTCATTTTCTTTTTCTAGAAGATACCATGAGAGTTTACCAGAACAACCCCAAACATAAATACCTGCAGGTACTGCTCTTTTGCATCACTTCTGCCCTGTGATAGCCAGACAGCTTGCAAAATCCGTCATTGCTGTACACGATAGGCCAGTCCACTATCTGGGCATTTCCCAACACAAAATTAGTATCTGTTAAAAAAAAAAAAAAAAAGACAGAAAGAAAAGAAAGAAAAGAGGACATGAGGCAAGACATTAGTTGAGATTCAATGAGGACATAAATAATATCAATCAATCTAGGTACTTCTGCTTCCCTCCAAAATATAGTCTCTTGAACAGGAATATGGCCCTGTGAGGAATGCAAAAGAACAGTGTTTTAGAAGAATATTTCTAATGCACATGCTAACTAAGGTCACTGTACTCCAAAAAGAAATTAGTGAAGACAGGATGCTTACCCAACCAACCAATGAATCCTGCAGAAATCTAGTAGATTCCCATGAGACATATTCCTAATTTTTCATCTCAGTGAAAGTATACTGATAATACAGAGCAAAAGAGAACACAAAAGTAATTTCTTCTGGGCTCTGTCCAGCATCTTAGCCTTGTCAGTCTTTTGACAGAAGCTACAAATTTGCCTTCTTGATCCTGACTAGCATTTGCCCATCCTTCTCAGAGAGGCAGAGGATGGGGGATTGAGCACTGCCTCATGGAACACACATAGCACGGAACCCTCCTCTTGGTAAGGAATAACCACTAGACCCTCCTAATACTAGCGCTTTGTAAAGGCTGACCGAGGTGCTCACACACTAGAACCTTCGCACTGATTCTGAAATTTTGTAGCCACAGAGCTGTATTTTGGGGCTCTTTCACAGAGCAGTAGCCTACCATTCACTCATGATGCAGAGTTTAAGTAAGCCAGATATGTATGACTGGCTTAGTGTGTTATCATTACTTCCCACATTTTTGTGGAGAGTTTTTTTGTTTGTTTTTTTAATAGAGATGGGGTCTTGCTCTGTCACCCAGGCTGGAGTGCAGTGGCACAATCACATCTCACTGAAGCTTTGAACTCCTGGGCTCAGGCGATCCTCCTGCCTCAGCCTCCAGAGCAGCTAGGACTACAGGTGCACACCACCACACCCAGATATTTTTCTCTTTTTAGAGACAGGGTCTTGCTATGTTGCCCAGGCTGGTCTTGAACTCCTGGCTTCAGGCGATCTTCCAGCCTCGGCCTCCTAAAGTGCTGGGATTAAAGGTATGAGCCACTGTGCCTGACCACTTCCCACAATTTGGAAAATCAAAAGTCTTCATTACTTTTTGTGCTCAGGAAATCAGCTGTCCCTCTTTTCTTTTCAAGAACTTAAATTAAGCAAATAACATTCAGAACTTACATGTTATCATTATTTTAGTTTGGTTCCTTCCTCCCCACAGAATACCCACCCACCTCCAGCCATCCCCCCAAAATAAGAAAGAACACACACCCTTCTTTTGCTGTATACTGGAGGTTTGTTTTTATATACATACATATATATATATATATATATATACACACACATATACCTATATATACACACTATGTAGAGTGAAATAATGGTGATATAATGTCCTTATTTAATTGGGAGGTTAATCATGTTCTAGGACAGCACTTAACAATTTATTCGCAATATGGGTAACCATCCTTTCCTAGCTATATAAGGAGGTAACTATTCTTGGGTCAGATAGGCTTCTCCACCCTTCATAGTTGGGGTTATTTTTTTTATTTGTCAGGTTTGGGGAAATTATTCCACTTTATGCAAACAGCACTAAAGACAGAAGACTCCAAAGAAGGCAGGGATTGAGAGGAGCCAAAGGCTGAGGTGAGCCAAGACCTTAGAGAGGAGGAATCACTAAATACAGTAATCTATTCTTGAGACTGCTTAGATCTATTTAAAGGAACATAAAATACAACTTTTATGATGTGAATCTATAAACCTACTATTTTTTATAAATACGCTTTTAATGAAAATCTACAACCAGTCCTTCCCTCCATCTCTCCCATAGACACATAAATACTTCCTGAGTACCTACTGGGTACCAAGCACAATGCAAGGCCCAGGGGTATCCAGACTGATAAGACGTGGTCCCTGCCCTCAAGGAATTTAGCAGGACAAATGGACACGCACACAACTAGCTAAAGAAACAGGTAAGAAAATGACTGACCGTGTTTGAGAAAGATAAAGGGCTGTGATTCCGGGGCGATAACATTTGAACTTGCTCTAGTCTAAAAAGATGAGTAAGATTTATTTAAACATTGTTGAATGTCTAAGATGTGATACAAATAATATAAAATAATAATACAAAAACAATAGATACAGAAATGACAACGTCATCCCTGTCTTTGGTGAACTCAAGAGGGTGGGAGCGGGGAGGGAACATTCCAGGCAGAGCAAAGGCATGGATGGCAGCACGGAACACAGAGCAGGCTGGGGCAGACAAGCCAGGGGAAGCCAGGAAAGTGGCAGGAGGTGACACTGGAGACCAGACTGGGAAGGGTCTTGAATGAGTAAAGTCAAAGAAGCTTTGACTTTTTATTCTGGAGGCAGAATAACTGTTCTTGTTGGCCTTCTCTCCCTGAATAAATTCGACATTTCCTAAACTGAACAGCGTAGTCTAAAAGAAGTGTAAAGATCTTTTGAAATCTAGTAGGTTTAATGGTCTCTCTTGTTGCCATCAACAAAGGTAAGTAGGATAAGAGGAAGAACAAGGCATAGGATGGTTGTTCATTTTGTAACTGTGAATTAAATGACTTTGATAAAAATAAGCATATACTTAATTAAAAATTAATTTAATCACAGAAGATTGCATTATTGATTAAATTTTTCATTTACTAAAAAATGAGAGCAGGATAAATTTCAAGCTCCAGATATCAGTGCAACTTCTCATGAAAGTATTCTGATCATCTTTTAAAGGTATTCATAATTCCACATGCATTCCCCCGGGTGTACATATTACAGCCTACTAGCACATTCTTTGACTTTAGTCAGGAAGCACAAAAATAGGAAGCACAGTAGGAATGGAGTCATCAGCCTATCATTCACTCAGAAGATTCTCACCATAAAATTTAAAATTCCAGAATAGTTTCCTCTCACTGCTAACCCAAGCAAGAGATTATAGATCCCAGGGAGCAAGGTTCCCTTGACACCCTGTGATGGAAGATCTAGGAATTCCCTCTTTATCCCAGGACTTGGAGAGAGTGGAAAAAAGAATTCTAGTCCCAGCTACAAAGCCATTTGCCTCCAATAGTAAAGGAATTCTTCCCCCTCCCCTTCCAAATCCTAGCAAACACAGTCTCTTTTAATTCTAAGCTACAAACAATCGGCCTACAAATTACCTTTCAGAGCACAATCTGTTTATAAATTACATACGAACACCATGACACCAGATGTATCATCAGGAACTAAGGAATTCCACCTAAGTGACATTCTAGGTTTTAATGAGAATGGGTCCTATTTATTGATATTCACTCTGTGCCAGGTGCTGTTCTAAGTACTTTACCATATATTATGGTGGGGTTTTTTAACCTTTACAACAATCTTTGTGAGGTGGTACTACTTTACTGAATGGAGTGTCAGGTATTTCCTCATTTTATCATGAGGAAACTGAGTCTCTGAGGATGTACAACAGCCAGATATACCAGTGTATAGTTGGGATTTGAACCTGGGTTTATCTGACTTCAAAATCCATGCCTTTAATCCTTACATTACAGTCCCCTTCTTATACCATTAAGTACTAAAATCAGACCATTTCTACGATTACCATTCTTGTCATCATATATTGTTATTCTACCTTGTGATACACAATGATGCCCTCAGGAAATATTAATGTGGGTAGAAGTAATTATTCTGCCTCTAAATGCTTGGGTTCTCCTGTCTGTCTTTTCAATGATTTGTCTCTTCCCTCACTTGAAAACTACCATCTTTTACTTCTTAAAACTAGTGTGCTGACTGATTTCTATAACAGTCCTGCTTCTACACAATGATAAAAGAGGAGGAGGAACAGGAGAGCAGAAGAGGGTGGACTTTGTGCCTGGCTTCCCATGTGATGCTCAGGGGTGGGACAGAACACCGCACTGGGTGATTGAAAGCCGCTGCACAGCAAACCTGGCCACGTTAGCACTTCTGAGCCTCCCTCAGTTCGCATAATGTCTGGGAAGAACCCAGAAGTTCCCAACCGCCCCATGGCTGCTGAAGTTGCATAAGCAGACGGTTATCACAGTGGAGTGAGCTGACCTTATAGCCAAGGACTGCATATCAAACTTCCCAAGCCTAGGATCAACCATGGGGGAGGAGAAGGGGAGCTATAGAGCCAGTTAGAGCCAGATTAGATCAAATCACATACACACACCAAGGGGAGGGGGCAGGGAGGGGAGAGAATGTGTGTTGAGTTGGGGCAGGAGCATCAAATTCTGTTCCATCCAAGAGAATGGAACATAAGTTCACCAGCTGCAGACTTGAGCCCCACAGATCAGCTAGGTGCCCAGTAATCAGTAGGCCAGGGACCACTGCCAGAGACCCAAGGAAAAAGAGGGGGAAAATAAGGCCTTCTTATTTTCTGAGGCTCCAGAGTTCATGCGAGTGCTGCTTACTTCCACACCACACACCATCTTGGAGAAAAGCAATGGGATGGGTAGAATTGGAATGTGAACCCAGAAAAGACTGGTTACCCAAAAGATACTACTAAATGGAGAGTTTAGATTCCCCCCCTAACCAGTCTCCCTTTGCTCTTCAGTGGAGCGGGAGCTTGTGGGGAAGATTAGACCTGTTAAATAAAATAAAGGAATAAACTTAGGTGGATCTGAGTACATTTGCCACTATACCTCTAGAAGTAGGTCTGCCATAAGAATAAACAGGCTCAGAAAGTGGGAATCTCCTGAAGAAAGTGCACAGATTTCAGTGGAAAGACTCTGTGACAGCAACTTTGCTTAGCCAAGGCTTCCTAATTCCTCCAGGTGGTTGGCCATATTCCTGATGGTTGAGAATGCCAGATGAGAGAGTTCTAGTGAAGTGACACAGAGTTTCCAGCCAAATGCACAGACGTGCCATTCCATATCCAAACGTAAATGACTCTGGGATTATTTACTATTTTCCACACTCAGTAAATGGAAAACAAATTCAAAGCTAAGCAAAACTTAATTAGGGAAGTAATCCACTGCTTGG